ATGTGTGTTCAAAGCATAATAAGACCCAAGTAACATTTTTCGGAGCCTAAAGTTTTTTTAAAAGGTAACGGATATTTATAAGAGGTCTATAAGGAACCTTAACATTTATAAGAGTGTTTAAAGTCTTATAAGAACACTATTGGTGCTAAAAGTTTTGTAACACCTCGAAAAAATACCAAAATACTTGAAGTTTTATAATATTGCATCCAAAATGTTTTCGTTACCTGATTTATAAAACCTTTGGTATTGGTTACTTAAGGTTTTTTAAAAGGGTTTTATAGCGTTCTTAAAAACCTTATTATAAAACTTTTACTCTTGGAGTTTTATAGCTTACTTCGTAAAACCCTTATAAATCCTAAGGCACCTAATAAACATTCTACAGCTACTACAAAACCTAAAGAATTTTATAAAACTTATAGGCTCAGTAGCAACTCCTTTCATGTGTAGAGTAGGGGGCGCTATATTTTTAGGGTTAGGTTATGTTTTATGTTCCTGTTTTGCTTTTGTAAATCAAAGATGGAAGTAGAAAGAAAAAATTGGAAAAAATTAAATACATTAGCAGTTTTTATAGAAAGTGCGTTAAAACCCGCGAAAATATTTTGGGTGGTGTGCACCCACAACTACTAAAAATTACGAAAACTTAGACATTTCTCAAGAAGATATATTACCAAATACTTCGACTGAATCGACTGCCACCGATGAAGGAAGGGGCAGAGGACCTTTGGAAGAATGTATAGATTCAAAGACGGTGTTGATTTTCCATCTTCTGTGGTTTGGACAATTTTGAAGTGTATTGAAGGGTTTTGTTTTAATTATTTTGACTAAAAAATTGTTTTGCAAAAGCCAAAGCGCCCGAAACAAAAAGTGGGGTTATAGTCAATGGTCAAGTTTCTATAAAAATCTTTTTGGTAACTTATAAAACTATTAAGTATCACAAAAGCACCTCAGGTTTTATTGGAAGAGCAAAATTCCCATGACACCTAGGGAAGTATTATAAGAGTTTTTAAAGTGTTGATGATTACTTAAAGGCCCATATAAAACTAGAGGTTTTTAAAAGGCGAAATGGCGAACATGACGTCCTTTTATAAGGCGGCCATTTTATATTTGTGTTGTTGTACTTACACAAAAAAGAAGAATATTGCATTTTAAGCAATATTACCGAAGCTTTAAGACGTATTTTTTCAAAAGCATGGGCTTAAGAAATGTTGCGCAGTTTATTTGCAAAAAAAAACAAATCATGAGACTTAAATTTAATTTTTTGGTTTTCACAAAATAAATTATATTTGAGTTGACTAAACGGGGGCGCTTTAGTTTTAAGAAGGGTAAAATGTTAATATTACTCGATAAATTTTCCGTGCCAATAAAATTTAGTCCTCATAGATTTCTTACAGAGTATTTAAGTTGTTATGATAATTATTATAACACGCCATTTTCATCAAAGTGAAAATCCATTGCTGTCAACTTTAAACTACAAGCAGAATAATAATGACAAGGACTTGAAATAGAATATATTGCAAACAAACGTTGTAGAAAGAGATGAACTTAAAAGGGGCGTTTTTTATTTTGGTGTTTATAAACACTATAAAGGAATATAAAGGTTTTAAAGAGGTAACGAAAATGTATTCCTTGCCGCTATAAAACTTATTTATGGTTTATAAAGGTAAAGACAACCTCTTAGTTACCAATAAATGGAGAGTAAAGGTCACGTTAAAGGTTTTATAAGGTACTAAAATTCGGTCACCGTTACCTTTATAAGATTCTCCATTTAAGTGCTATAGGGATGTTATAAGGGTAACGAAAACGTTTCGGGAACAATTGATAGGCTCTTAGGTTTAATTAAGTAGGTTATCGAAACGTAACCATTACCATTATAAAACAAAAAATGTTAGTTGGGGAATCATTTTAATAAGAGTAATAGAAATGCTTTAAACGAAAATATTAAGTATTTTTAAACAGATAACCTTATAGAAGTGCATACTAGATATCGGATGTCAATTACAGCAAACAGGTCTTTGTATCGAGAAGTTGCTGCCTCGGTATCCAAAAGGGATAATACAATTTTAACCGCTACTTAAGTCGCTTTTTCAACCGATATTCTCGGGATTGTATCGAATCGTAAGTCTCGCCATACGACATTTCAATGCATGGGAAAGTAACACTGCCAGATAGAAAGCATCGTGTGAGCTGATGTAATTTGTTACAGGTAGTTGGCTCCTTGTTAAGAAACGGTAGATTTTCAGAACATTATTAGTTTTTGATATAGAGATTTTAAATAGCGTCTACAGTTTATCAGGTGACAATATTTCCCGTGAAATTAGGGGAGATAAAAAATCAGTTTAATGAAACGCTGTTATAAACACATTATTAGAACGTCGACAATTGCATGTCAAAAAAACCGTATCTCGATTTGTTTCTGATTACCTGATTTATATTTAAAAATTAGAATAACTATTTATTTTAAAAAATTATTTTAAAGAATGTTTGTTTAAGATTATATACAGGGTGGTCCGAACTGTATTCCGCAAACTTTGGCTACATATTCTGCAGATAAAAATAAGTAAAACAGTTCGTTTAAATTATGTCGTGAAATGGTCAGTTTCGGAGGTACAGGATGTAGAAATTTCATTTTTATTTCCACTTTTTCCAAATAATTTCTGAAGTAACGTCAATATTTGGATGAAAATTATTATCTGGGAGTTTTTTGACATGAGCAATTTGATTTTGATGTCAATATGATTCCTATTTATAGGGGACGCCACCTACATGTATTTTAACTGTTTTGAAGAGTAATAACTTTTCGTTCGTACCTGTATAAAACTACTGAGTGAAAAAATATACATTTTTGTGATTTTTTACGTAAAAAATGTATCTTCGTAAAAATCGCTACGAGCAACCATTCTCAAGATATTTAGAATGGAATTAGTCAATACATGTCATTATTAGTGATGGGATAACTCGAGCGAAAATTTGCTCGTGTACTTGATTATTGAGATAACCGATATCGCTCGATTATTAACGAGCGACAAACGCAAGCAATCCTATGCAGCGAATTTGCTACATATCTATATTGCAGATTGGCAATATTTTATCAGTATTTTTGGTAAAATATCTTTAAACAACAGATTGCTCTTTTGATTGGCGCCGCATTGTTAATTGTTGACTATACGACGTTATCTGTTACGTAACTGTGTGACAAAATTTTACCGCCTACATCGACAAGACTTCGATGCATGATCAAGCGAAACTACTCGTACTCATCGCTTATTCCTTTGCCACTATCATCGAAAGAATATGCGCTCTGCGCACGCAGCTTACTGCTTGGCGTTACGAGTACAAGTACAAGCGACGGCGACAGCGAAAAACCGCTCGATTATTGAGAATAACCGAGTGATCGCTCGATTATTGCAATCGCTTGAAACTCGAGTACTCGATAATTAAACTTCATTGGTTTTTCCCATCACTAGTCAAAAAATAAACATATTAGTTAGAAATTGAAATAGTGAGGGGAATATATAAAAACAGAAGGAAAAAATGAATCGGCAAGCTCTCAATTGAGGGCTTGCCGATTAATTTTTTCCTTCTGTTTTCATATTAGTTAGTAGAGTAGATTCACTAGAGTAGAAAACAGTTTCTGTTAAACTTTTGGTACAAAACATTTTAAATTTATGATTCCAGTCTAATAACTACTTAGTCAACATATTTAATTTATATCAATGATGATATTGATCATAGGTATTGATAATTTCGATTCCAAATATCTCGAGAATCATTACTCGAAGCGATTTTTACCAAGAGACCATTTTACGTAAAAAAACGTCATAAATGTATATTTTTTTACGCGGTTAAAAGAACCGAGTACTGTACTCGTAATCCGTACCTGTATAAAACATACAGGTACGGACGAAAACCCTCTACAAGTAGGAATCATATTGACATCAAAATCAAATTTTTCATGTAAAAAAACTCCCAGATGTAAAACTTGGAAAATAAGTTGGTTATAACAATGGTTTTATAATTCGGAAACTCTCTATTTATTTATCTAGTAATGCTAGAACACTCTATTAATTTGAAAGTCGATTAGAGAAAATAGTATTATTCATTGATAATCGATGTAAATATTTGCGATTAGGTAAAATTGTGATGTAAGAGACAGGCTTAGCTTGCCAGCGAGTCAGTAGTAATAGTTGACTATTAGGATGCGAGTCTTATTGACTATTAGGATGCGAGTCTTATTGACTATTAGGATGCGAGTCTTTTTGACTATTAGAATGCGAGTTTTTTGACTATTAGGATGCGAGTCTTTATGACTATTAAGGATGCGAGGGATGCGAGTCTTTATGACTATTAAGGATGCGAAGGATGCGAGTCTTTATGACTATTAAGGATGCGAGTCTTTTCGACTATTAGGGATGCGAATCTGTTTAGCTGCAGTTTTGCGTCCGGGGAAAGTCCCTATACTTATTTCAGGTGACACCAGCTAGTTGTTGAAGATTAACCAATAGATCCGAATAATATTTGAATGAGATGGAAGATATGGAATGGGATATATTGAATAGAATACTAGTGGCTAGGGGGCGGAGTATCCCCGGGCGAGTTTTACTATTTAACTATCAATTTTATCCAGATCAGTAAATGTTTGCTTTGTTATTTTCATGTACAATGAGAGCCTGCTTGCCAATGACAAACTAAATAGATATTTGAGGTGAATTTGCATTGTGAGACCCGGTTGAGTAAGCCCCAGAAATAAGCGATTTTACACATACACCAATTTTCATCCAAATATTGACGTTACTTCAGAAATTATTTGGCAAAAATCGAAATAAAAATAAAATTTCTGCACCCTGTATCTCCGAAACTAAGCTTTTTAAGACATACATTAATACGAACCTTATAATTATTTTTATCTGCAGAATATGCTGCCGATGTTTCCGGAATACGGTTCGGCCTACCCTGTATATTTTTTTATTGTGATTTTGCAATAATTTTTTTTTTTGTTGCAGGATAGTGTACGGTGTTTTAAATCTAGGAGCAGAAGTATTCTGTTCCAAAGTACCCGGTTTGACTCACAAACAGAGGGAAATGTGCAAATCATCTCCGGACGCGATGGTGGCCATCGGTGATGGTATTCGCCTGGCAATAGACGAGTGCAAGTACCAATTTAGGCATCAGCGATGGAACTGCAGCGGTATTGAAAATCCTGCTGCGTTTGGGCACGTTGTCATTGTCGGTATGTAGGTATTTTCGCTTTTTATTAACCTTTTTGCACCAAAAATATTTCTATGTTAAAATATAACTTAGTTTTACCGTATTGTCTAATTTAGACAAATAACGACTTGTGTTTTGCTTGATTTTAATATAAATTTTACTAAGAATATTTATAATAATTTGACCAGCCGTTAGCTCCCTGTATTTAAATAAAACATTATATCGGGACCTCAGTTACAGGGAAATTATTGTGAATTTAAAAAAGAGACATCAAAAATAGTTTTTAGGACAGCGTGCTTTCGTTCCCAGACTAAAAACATGAAAAATTTTGTTAAAGATTAATATTGCACAAATAGCTATTAATTTTAATACAAATATAATCCGTTTCTTCATGAGATCATATACTCCTTGTTTGTGTAATAAAAACATATTTTCTTTGTTCAGAAGTTCACAAAGAAACGTTTTTTTCGGATTTGAGAGATTGGGACAGGTGAATGAAACTTTTCAGTGGGCCAAAAATGTTTATCGATTGCTAATAACGTGGTTTATTATCCCTGTGGGAATATATTAAGTGGATTAACATTTTAATCTTTAAATTGTGATGCGATATATAAGGAAATTATACCTTCTAAAGATTATTATTTATTTTGCTTTTTACACGAGCTATTTTAAACTAAATTTTGGTTACACAAAAATAATAATAATGATTAATATAATTTTTAACAAATATTAAAGAAATTTTAAACCAGAAATATTGCAATAGAAAGAAAATATATTAGGTATATATTTTGAAATATAATTCAAATAGAAACAAAAATAACTAGGGCAAAAACAATATCTTTCACATAATTATACATGACAGTCAGTAGCAACTAATCTTTGTTGGTATGAAATAATTGTTTGCAAATGTCGATAAGTGTGTATATAGGGTGCTACAAATTCGAGGTACGAGTATTGGTATCTCGGTAACCGTAATAGATACGAACATGGTTAAATTAAGTTGCGCTTTGAGATGTTCACCAAGATGCCATCAAAAAAGTTTTAAAAATTTCAAGGATTGCTGAGTTTTTTGGAAAAAACTGATTTTTTTAAAAATCAATTTTATTTTTTCCTGTCGTTACTTTTTAGAAAATCAAAAAACTAATTGTTCATTCTCATAGCCACTTTATTAGGGACATATGATAGTATTTTTAGATTTTCAAATTAGCTGATAATTTGTGAGATACAGAGGCCAAATTATTTTTTTTAAAACAGACCTGCATTTTTTAATTCAGATTTTGAAAGGACTCGGTCTCCTGAGTACAACGATACTACCACACACTTTTCCACAAATATTGTATTGACGTAAAATTAACAACATTGCTAAAACATCTCAAATAACGTCGCATCAACAATTCTTTTTCAACCTTGCATTGCAATGTTGCTGGGCGGAAGATTAAGCTACCTTGCATCCTAGCATATACCTCCCTACAATGAAAAAAGTCATGTGCACGTTCAGGGAACACAGTGGCTGACCGACCGCTGAGTATTTTGCTCAGCAGCTGACTGTTTTTGTGTGTAAAAAGAGACCGTTTACGGAAATGGCTTACTCAGCCACTCAGCCGCTGACCGTCCCTGAACGCGCCCAATGTTACACATTGCTTTGCGAAGTTTTGGCAATGTTGCAGCATAAAATTTTGCTTGTTGAGTAGTTTCCAGTGGGACATCCTCAGTCATAATAAATTATAAATTTATTTGAATATAGATAAATATTCGATAATTAGCTGTATACGATATTACTAATTCTACTACTACGACAAAAAGATGTAAACAACTTTGAAGAAATCAGATATCTCTTCCCATTTAGGATTTTTATAGATACATAATGAAACCGCTGACATGTGAGACCTCTCCGTTTCAGGTAGCAACAAATTCGAGAACAACAGTTAGTTATTTATTCATATATTAAGGAAATGACTTTTTCATATATATCGGATAACATACACGAAGTAAAAGTAGAGAAGATTTATTTATTACTTAGCTTAGAAGAGACAGCAGAATCAATTCTAGAAATGTTGGAATGTATTTATTATGGTGGTTTATGAAAAGACTCAATTTAAAAATGATAGTGTACGTATAAAGATAATTTTAGAAGTGTTCACGAAAAGTGTCTTTGTTCTGTAAAAAAATATAAAATCTGGTTTTAAAATAATGATATAAATAATGAATGAAATGAATATTATACGTAACAGTATTTTAATTTTTTTTAATAACTATACATGATAGATTGAGCTCGTTTAATCGCTTCAGTGCACGAATTATATTAATGAATTTCGGCTTTGTACCGAAGCCTACGCCTAAAAGATAAGTAATTTAGATATAGCGGTACTTTGAGTACGCGATTTTTTATATAGAGAGTGCCCTGGTTTGAATTACCCATCAGCAATAATAAACCAGACACATACTTTTTAAATCAGCAATAATAAACCAGACACATACATTGTTTAATAAACATGCTTTTTTCCATTCAAAAATATATTTTTATTAGTAACAAGTACACATTTTTAACTTTATTATACCGGGTGAGTCTTAAATAAATGCATATAATTCATATTTTCTCTTTGCCGTTTTTCAAATACTTAACTACAAAATAACCTACTATTTTACTTTGAAAATTTAAGAAAAAAAAAATATTTTTTTGGTAAAATTTTACGAACGACTGTTTTAAGAGCATTTTTTTGTATAATTGCCAAGTCATTATAATAATTATAATGACTTGCCAATTGCACAGCACCATAATTTATAAACGAATAATCTACCATCTCGATTACTAAATAAATCTAAACAGTGCTCTTAAAAATAAAGTTTTTTAATTAGAACAGAATATCATTTCGTGCAATTGCCAAGTCATTATAATTATTACAGAAATAAAGACGACAAATATTGATACTAACAATTTATAACAAAATTGTTAAATAGGTGCTTAAAAAGGGACTAAATAAAATTAACTCTGGCTTAATTAAGAAACCGAAACTCGAAGCTGCGTTTTTAAAAATTTTTATTTTCAAAAGTTACAGTGACAACATTAATAGAATAAACAAGAATGACCATGGTGTGAGAACATTTTGCTTTTATATTGAAATAATGCTTATTCGAGGGAAGACGATCTTCTGCGGCTATTCTTGGCATGGCCTTGATTTGCCGGATACATAACTCCTCCCTCCTTAAGAATCAAAAACGATGGAGTTGATTTTTGATGAATTTGGCTTCAGCTCGACATCTTTTCTTTCTTCTTTTTTCGTCTTCTTGAAATTTTGGATTTGTTGATAGTTCGTGTTTTCCATGTTTGTCGTAAAATTTGTCCCATTTTCGATATTTCTACAGTGTTGATCATAGTAGTTCTTCGTTTCCTTCATATTCATTAGCGTGCAGTTTTTCAAATATAAATTGTGGAGGATTCCAACCTCTCTGTTGTTGCTTATTAAACTGATTTTGCGAGGGTTGTTTCTTAAATCCGTTTGTATTCTTTATGCTAATTGACATGGGTGTTGGTTTTGTTCGTTGGCTTAGTGGAATTGGTTTTGGTGTAAACACGTTTTGTGGTAGGCCAAAAACTTCTCTGTTCGTAAAATATCTTTGCGGGGGTAGTTGTCGGGGTTGAGGCATATTTATAGGCTGAGAAGGCCAGGTTTGAAAACCAGCATGACTTCCCGAATTATTAAAATTTGGATTGTTAGGTGTATTAAAATTTGGAGTATTATTTTGGAATTTGAAATGGAAAAGCTGCGGGGCCGGGAAACATTTTTATTGAGCTAATAAAGCAGGGACCCGATATATTATTGGAAATACTAGCTGATATCTTCAACAGATGCCTGATAAAAAACGAAAACATTCCTGAAGACTGGAACCTGGCGTACATCAGCTCTGTCTTTAAGGAAGGAGACAAAAAAAGATGTAGCAACTACAGAGGCATTAGTTTGACAAGCTCAATGGGAAGGTTGTATGGCAGGATATTAAAAGAGAGAGTAGAAGAGAGCTTTGAAGAAATAGAAGAACAAGGTGGTTTCCGCGCTGGGCGTTCTTGTACAGACAACATATTTGTGTTACAACAAATAATTGAAAAAAGAGAGCTCGAAATTTGGACACGCATCTGGTATTTATAGATTTAGAGAAAGCCTATGACACGGTGCCTTTGAAGAAATTATTTGAAATCTTGGTTGAGGCAAATGTGAGTAAAACATATATTAATGCAATCTGGAATATGTACAAAAATTCAAAAAGTATGATCAGACAGGGGAAGTTCCTATCGGAATCCTTCCTGACATCTAAAGGACTTAGACAGGGGTGCAGTTTATCACCTACCTTATTTAAAATATATATACAGGAGGCATTGAAAAACTGGAGAAGGAAGAGTAGAGCTATGGGAATAGAGATTGACAACCACTTCTATCGACCTTGTTCTTTGCAGACGACCAAGTTATTGTTGCAGGTTGTGAGGAGGATGCCGACTATATGTTCAGGAAACTTGAGGAAGAATACGACAGATGGGGACTCAATATCAACCTCACAAAAACCGAATACCTGAAAGTAGGAGAAGAACAAACTGAAGATCCTGAACAACACATACATGAAATTAAAAGGTGTAGCGAATATAAATATTTAGGAAGTATTATATCTGAAGAAGGGAACTCCAAGAAAGATATACATAGTAGAGTTCAACAAGGTAAGAAAGTAATCCGTCTTTTAAACCATCTCCTGTGGTCAAATAAAACATCCATCCAAACAAAGATAAGGATTTACAAAGCAATCGTAGAGCCAATTTTAACATACGGTGCCGAATGCTGTCAATTTACAGCAAAAGAAAGAAGGATGGTCGAGTCAGTGGAGATGGACTTTCTCAGAAGAGTATGTCGCATATCAAGGATGGCACACATTAGAAATGAGGAGATCAGGCAAAGAACAAGGCGAATATATACCAGCACCGACAACATCGAATCGAGACAGCTACTATGGTATGGGCACGTAAAAAGAATGGGAGAGGAA